GAGAGAGAGAGAGAGACAGACACACACAAAATTGGCAGAAATCTAATCTCGTTCATCAAATGTTGCGTTATTGCTTTTTTAATAACTTTGTAATTTAATGATGCTTCGAAAAATATCTTATGCTAAAATTTTTTCCTCTCGCTGCATGTTTATCCATGCATGCCATTACGCGAAATAATATATTCACCCTTACATACGTGCAGCTGCAGCAATGCAGGACCTTCGTGGGGAACGCGACCTCATTCAAAATTTGCAAATGGTCACACATATTTATTGAAAATTAACTCTACGAAGTGAACAGCCCATTTTTTTCAAAATAATCGATAAAATCCTGACTTTTCACCTTCAACCTTTTTAAAAATAAAATTATGAAATTTTTCATTTAATTATGGAACAGATCTCTTTTTCGCAACTTTCGAATACTCCTGATTAATGCTCCCGATCTTACTTCCTGTTTTCTTTGCATTTCAATAATCCTCAAGCATTTCAATAATCCTCAAAGCAATTGCATTAGTTTTCTTTGCGGAATGATCGATTCGCGTTTTATTTGCGAGTCTCGTCGGGAAGTCTGCCTTTTCAATAATCTCTTCTCTTTGAAGCAAATAGGTCGAGATCAGTAGGCGCTACAGAAGCAGGAAATGAAAAGGGCAACTGTATAGGCACCTCCAGCGTTTTAATTTACGATCTCCGTGGTTGCGGTGACGTCTTTTTTCCTCCCAGGTAACCGCAGAAGAGGAAGCGCTTGTGTCCTTTGCGAAAGGGGCGCGCTCGCGGAGGCCATCCGGTGGAGACCGTCGAGGCCGCTTTATCGTGCCCCGTGAAATGAGATATGAGGGGGAGAATGTTTATTCGCGGTTTTCTCCCCCTCGTTCCACGTTCTGCGCGAGAATGACGATAAAAGGAGGAGGCTCATTCCCCTAATTGGAACGCGCGCCAGTTTCGCTTCCGAGGTAACAGGTGGTGCCTATGCATGCCACTTATTCCATATAGGCATAAAAGAAAAATCTTCTACCCCATTATTTTTCCTAAAGTGACATCCGTGTTCCTTCAATTTCACAAATCTTCCATTTCGTAAGAATATGGGTGTATTCAAGGATTTGGGAGATTCAAACCCTTGCCCTAAATTAAAAAAAGTTGAAGTTATGATTTATAAAACCTAATATATATATAAAACTTATTTTTAACACACACACACACACACACACACACACACACACACACACACACACACACACACACACACACACACACACACTATAC